AAAGTATTTTATTTTAGCCATTTGCCAAGGCAACAATTCTCACATTCTTTTAGTTTAACTTGATGTTAAAAAAATAAAATTAAAATGAATTAAAACGATATAGACATATTAAAAAAACTAATAAAATGACAGGAATAAACAACAAATTTGCAAAAACGTTCATATGAAAATGGAAATGAATCACAACTGTTAATAGTATCTCAATTATTCTAAAAAAACATTTCAATTTGTTCAATTGTTCAAAACGAAACAGTTTCAGTAAATAATCAGTGGCAAATGACAACGTACCATGTTGTAAATAAAAACTATGCTACACTGTAATCATGTATAAAAAAGATAGACATGCTTCACAATTAAATGCATTTCAACTTCGTGTTTTGCATTAGACATTAGAACAAATCCACTGAAATTATGCACCAGTCAAATGCAAACGAAGTAGACTTGTTTTCCACTCTAATGCGATAAATATTGACACCTTCTCAGCTGTTTGATTTTAAAACATATGAATTAAATTTGAATTCAGGACTGTTGGCAACCCTACATATATGCAAGCTTTTTCTCTGCTTAATATCTATTAATCTTGCTTATTTTACAGGCTCTGCTGAAAGTCACCGTGCCACTTTGGACAGAAATGTCTATATCAGAATCCTGAAACCTGGAATGTGTCCTATTTTCACCTTCCATCGGTGTAATGTTACATATTGCTTTTACTATTGTGAATGCTGACTGAAAAATATCATGCAAAGCATATGAAAAAAAAACAATTCAAATATCCACAAGACTCTTTTGCTTATCCTTTCTTCAAACCTTCCTGTTCTACATGCCCACTTCATGTCCATTTCTTCCTTCCTGAATCCTCTGTCCTATCACACATCAGGCCATGCTACGCAAGAGAAGTCCTCTTATCATTTGTGGTGCTTTCATATTTGTAGCCTGGAACGTTATTCTTATTTTTGTCCTCATGAGACACCCGTCCACTCAAGGGGCTCTTGACAGCCCAGACGAACCTGGTAACACGGGGGACAGAGCCGGAGGAGGCCAGTTTGGAAATATTATGAATGAGGTGATGCATGTAGCTAATGCATTTGAAGCTGAACTTGAATCACAGAAGAAGATCCTAGTGCAAATCCAGAGCCATTGGTCGGTTTGGGAGAACAAAGGCGGTGTGACAGCTGCTAAGCCAAAATCACAAGCTGAACATTCAGCTCCGGTGGTCATCCCTGTTTTAGTCATTGCCTGTAATCGTGTGACTGTGAAACGCTGCCTTGACAAACTCATTGAGCACCGACCGTCAGCTGAACTCTATCCAATCATAGTGAGCCAGGACTGCAGACACGCAGAAACATCTGACGTGATCGCCTCATATGGCAGTCAGCTGACCCTGAACAGCCTGATCTTTCTAATATCTCAGTACCTCCACAGCATAAGAAGTTCCAGGGTTACTACAAAATCTCACAGCATTACCGTTGGGCACTCAACCAGGTTTTCAACACCTTTTCATACTCCTCGGTTGTTGTTGTGGAGGATGATTTGGAGGTAACTTTTACTGCAACCTTAATACACATTGTTTGTATAAACATTGTTTGTATAAACATATCAAAATATGATACACAAGGAAAAACGTTTTCTATTTTCTTTTCCATACAAAGTATCATAAAATGGTTCCTATGATCATCATCATGCACTATATTCAAAAACAATAGTTTTAAGTGTGTGTGTGTGTACTATAAAAAAAAAATTAATAGTTTATTTATATAGAACATTGGTAATTCAAAAAAAGTGCTTTACAAATTAAAAAAAAAAAATAATCACAACATAATGATTAAAGGGTTACTCCACCCCAAAATGAAAATTTTGTCATTAATCACTTACCCCCATGTCGTTCCAAACCCGTAAAAGCTTCGTTCGTCTTCGGGAACACAATTTAAGATATTTTGGATGAAAACCGGGAGGCTTGTGACTGTCCCAATGACTGCCAAGTAAATTTATTTTTTAGTCCATCTGCCATCAGTGGTTCAACCGTAACGTTATGAAGCGACGAGAATACTTTTTGTACGTGAAGAAAACAAAAATAACGACTTTATTCAACAATTCGTCTCCTCTGTGTCTCTCTGCATCACCGTAGCGCCATTTTGGAGAATATCCGCTGAACGCAAGCAGCGTACGCTCTTCTGTGTCAGCCGCGCTGCATGGATGCGCTGTTTTCGTTCAAATCAAAGCATAAATACACGTAGAAAACGTATCCTTGTGTCGCGGCTGACACAGAAGAGCGTATGCTGCTTGCGTTCATCAGATATTCTCCAAAATGGCGCTACGGTGATGCAGAGAGACACAGAGGAGACGAATTGTTGAATAAAGTCGTTATTTTTGTTTTCTTTGCATACAAAAAGTATTCTTGTCGCTTCATAACGTTACGGTTGAACCACTGATGGCAGATGGACTATTCTGACGATGCTTTTCATACTTTTCTGGACCTTGACAGTGTAAAATCTACTATGCAGTCAATGGGACAGTCACAAGCCTCCCGGTTTTCATCCAAAATATCTTAAATTGTGTTCCGAAGACGAACGAAGCTTTTACGGGTTTGGAACGACTTGGGGGTAAGTGATTAATGACAAAATTTTCATTTTGGGGTGGAGTAACCCTTTAAGTTGATAATAACAGATGGTTAAGAAATAAAATTATAAAAAATAAAAAAAGTAAAAAATAAAGATTCTCGTAAAAACATTTTTAAAAAATATAATAAAAAATAAGTTCATCCAAAATTTAATTATGGTACACAAGAAGTAAAACTATTTTCTGTTTTCTTTTCCACACTTTTGCCTTGGTCATAGGAACCATTTTTATTTAATTTATTCTTAAAAAAAACAACAAAGAAAAATAGAAATGGTTCCTATGATCATCATCATGTGCTATATTCAAAAACAATAGTTTTGTGTATATTGTGCATACATAACAGATGATTAAGAAATACAATTAACAATAAAAAGTAAAAAAGATTCTCAAAAATATATTTTTTTAAATATAATGAAAAATAAGAAGAAAAGAGTATATATATATATATATACATTTTATATGTGTGTGTGAGTGTGTGTTTATATATAAATATATATATTTGAATTATTGATAAATTAGGGTGAATGGTGAATTATTTTATTTTGTTGATGGTATGTTTTATTACTTTCACCAGGTGGCCCCTGATTTTTTTGAGTACTTCAGAGCACTTCATCCAGTTTTAAAATCAGACCCGACTCTGTGGTGCGTGTCTGCCTGGAATGACAATGGCAGGGAAGGATTTGTGGACCCTGGAAAAACGAGCTTGTTGTACAGGACAGATTTTTTCCCAGGCTTGGGCTGGATGTTCACAAAGCACCTCTGAGCAGAGCTTGAGCCAAAATGGCCGGCCTCGTTTTGGGACGACTGGATGCGCCACCCCGATCAGCACAGAGACAGATCCTGCATCAGACCAGAAATTTCCAGAACTTTAACATTCGGTTGGAAGGGTGTGAGTTCGGGGCAGTTTTATGACAAGTACCTCCGCTTTATTAAGCTCAATACAGAATTTGTGCCTTTTACAAAAATGGACCTTTCTTATTTAGAAAAGAAGAAATATGATGAGAGCTTTGAGAAGGAGGTTTACGGTGCTCCGGTTGTCACCGTGGAGGACTTGCAAAGTGGGAAACTGGGTCTGGCCCATTTCGGGTCCAGTATTCTAGTCCTGGCAGTTTTAAAACATTGGCTCGCAATCTTGGTGTGATGGATGACCTGAAGTCAGGAGTGCCACGAGCGGGGTATAGAGGTGTAGTTAGTTTCCTTTTACGTGGAAAGAGGGTCTATTTAGCTCCACCTGTAGGCTGGAGCCAGTATGATCCGAGCTGGAGTTGAAGTGGGCTGCGCCTACATCACAGGAATTTCAGTGCAAAGCACATGATCATTCCCTTCACATTGTCTTAAAATTCCATTGTGCTGCTTAATGATGGAAAAACCTCTAGTAGGGGTTTCAGAATAGAGATAATATGATACCAAAGATAATAACATTAATTGATCACTCAGACTTTTTGCCTCAGGTTTCATTATTTGTCTGTATAAAGTCAACTAGGATTTATGTGAGAACTTTGTCACATCAGTCGCATCATTAAACTGACAGATTAAACCTAAATCTTATGCTGACCAGCTATGCACATTTTTCACACAAAGTATATTTGTTCAGGAACTACAAAAGAGGGTACATATGATTAAAAACACTTATTTTTAATACTGTGAATACTGCTCTAAGTGCCTATAAATGTATATTTTTTTTGATTCACCTCTGTACTGTCTTTAATTGTGAATGGTGCATGGCATAGTGATTGGAATATGAAAAATCATTTGACACTTGATTATGTTTTACTTATATACTGGGATATTTTGATTTTTTTTTTGTTAAATTTGATGACTCATTTATTGCTTATATAAATAAAAATGCTAATAAAAATAATACACTATCAAAAACAAGAGTGTTCATAACAACAGCAACAATATTTCAGTTCAGTCCTAAACACACAACATAAAGAATAAACATATAAAAAGACATTCAAATAATGAAAACATACTAATACAGAGGGTTTGTGAAAAAGAGAAATAAAAATAAATAAAACAGCAGATCAAAGTTTCACATTTCAATTTAACAAATAAAATTGTATCTAGTTATTTTGTTAGCAATAGAATTAAGAGAGTCAATAAAGAAATTCAACCATAAATACCCTAAAACATAGTTTAGAAATACTAATTTTTCTTTTGTGTATGAAATTTACCAAATAAAAATTATTATTATTAGCCACACAAACGAGTCATTAAATGCGTCACCAAAACGCTCCCACGCTATTACGTTTTATTTTATTATTGCAAAAAACACATATACAATAAGTCAATACAAGATCTCACGCTATTACGTTACACGAATGTTACACAACGTTAACTACAGTAGCTCATTAGTCCTAAAGGGTTTCGTTTCGCGTTTTCTATTTACCTCACTCGTGTATATCACATTTCGTGTTGTTGAATGGCGGAGGGAGTGCGATGTTAGCCATGGGGTAAAGTTGAGGCATATAAATGGACTTTTGGCGATTATTTGTCATGTAATCTTCATATTCTTCTTCAGTTTACCTTTCATGGCACTTTTAAACTCATCAAACCGGTTTATTTATTTGCTGATAGTCATTTGCAGCAGCGAGCAAGCTAACAAACTAACGTTACTAACGTTACCACAATAAGTAATGAAGGCAAAGACATTTAAAATATAGACAAGTCACGTTACGTCTCTGTTTCGCGTCCGATCTGGCAGTTTTCTCCTTGTTAATCGTCAACATTTGATCTCGGATTTACGGAGAGGCCTGTAAATGGATCCAGCGGTTTTGCGTGAATGCCCTGCGGGTTCAGGAGCACCTTCATTGGAGGAGAGAGGAGGAAATCAGCCGGAGGAGGTGACAGATGATAGCAGAGAAGCTGACGGGGAATCCGAGGAGACGGAGATGGAGAGTAAAGACTCTGAGAGAACTAAATGTCAAGATGAAAACTCACTGCATGGAAAACTGACTGAGGAGGAATTAGATCCTAGAATCCAGGTAAACTGACACTTAGTCAGCACATTGTAGTAAGATCTCATACAACACTGTTGTAGTGATTTATTCATATTTTAAAATATTTTGATATTAAAAAATCAAGCCCCCCAATAGCAGACTATTTATCAAAGCCTATTTAAAAAATGATTAACATATTTTTGAATGCTTAACAGCTTTGTAGTTCATGGACATTCAGTTATGAATGTGTATGTGAATCAACATTGACTTTTCTAACTATTTGTATGTGCAATATAAATAAAAAATGGTCAAAAATGTTTATTCTTTACATGTTTTATCTATTACTATTTTCATTTATTATTACGTCATCAGAATCATACATTATATTTTCTTTGAAGAATCTAAAATATCTTTTATGTTCTTTGAAGTCACCACCCTTTGCCTAGATTCTGCATCTGTGCATTTTGGGCATTAATATTATAAAATAACTGATAATAATGTTAGTTATTATAAAGATTCACCAAAGGTATTTTCATGGAATTTATTGTAATCTCAGTAACTCTACAGTTTCTGGGTCACCCTTATTTTGGATTGAACCAGCAATTTTTAAGCCAGCAGCCAAGATAATTTACCATTAGGCGACTATGACCTGCTGTGTTTCTGTATCTAGGAGGAACTGGAGCGTCTGAATGAGGCCAGTGAGGAGATCAACAAGATGGAACTGGAACTGCAAGTACGTGAAAGTTCAGAATGCTTTTGGAAAAATTGTTCCCAACCTCAAGGACATTTGGGACTGTTAGGCTACATGCTTTTAAGTATATACTTATTATTATGGCTCATTGTCATTTAATAGACACTTTTAATTCAGTGTACAGGACTATAATCTCAGACAGGTAGACCGTACTTTGAATCAAACCTGCAATCTTTCTGCTACCAGCCCAACTCAATAATTGAATTAGGCAACCCACTAACACAGATTTAGAAAGATTTGTGAACAATATTTGAGAGAAATAGGCCTTTTGTGTACATAGAAAAAGTCTTAGATCTTTGAGTTCAGCTCATGAAAAATGGGGGCAAAAACAATAGTGTTGCATTTATAGTTTTGTTCAGTGTATATATATATATATATATATCACATTTACATATATAATATATTTTGAATTAGTTTTGTTTTTTATATTTTCCATTATAATTTTAAAGTTTTGAGTATTTTTTTATGTTATTTGTTGTAATATAATTAGTTATATTTTAATGTTTATATAATTTTTATTTTAGTTTTAGAACATCAAGATGAACTAAGTTAGTTTTAGTTAACTATAATAACCTTACCACTACGCCATATTATGCAGATATGATAAGGCTTATATGATTCTCTCTTTCTTAGATAGCAAACAAGATTAACACTCCTGATTTACACACTTTATTTTATTATTATGAACTTGTTGTGAATGGTTGGTGTGATTTGTGAAAATCTTTGTTTTTGTTGTCAGGAGGTTCGGTCCAGCCATAGGAGGATGATGAGTGAATCTGTGCTTAAACTCAAGGCGAAAAGTTCAGAACTGGGGTCCTGCATCGAGAAGGCCAGGCCTTACTATGAGGCACGAAGAAACGCAAAAGAGGTGGACAGACACTCATCTTTAGTTTAGCATTGAGAAAAACAGTCATAATTTATAACTATTATTATTATTAATTTAAACAGGTAAAAGCGTTATTTAGTTGTGTTTTATGCCAAAACATCATATTGTATTTTTGCCAGTTTTTCTAAGGCAACTATCACAACCTTCACCTGATGAAATCCTATTGTCTCTTAAACGCATTATGATTAGTTTCATCCATCTTAGGCCCAGCAGGAGACCCAGAAAGCAGCGCTCAGCTTTGAGAGAGCGGTGTCCATGCACTTGGCTGCTCGAGAGATGGTCCACGTGGCTGAACAGGGCCTCACTGCAGTCAAGACGCTGGATCCAACCTGGCAAGAGATGTTGAATCATGCTACCTCAAAGGTTTGCCAATTTTCTCTCCAGCATATCTTATCAAGTTGTATCAAGCAGTTAAATATCTCTGACTTTGAACCTTGAGCATGTTTTCTTGGACCTTCGTTACATGACTGAATCATGCAGCAGATTTTTTTTTTTTTTTAAAGACGTCTCTTATGCTCACCATGGTACAGTAAAAACAGTTAAATTGTGAAAGATTTTACTATTTAAAATAACTGGTTCTAAATGAACAATTTTAATATGCTGATTTTTCTTAATATTTTTGTGTTCAAAAGAACGGCACTTATTTTAAATATAAATCTTTTGACAGTATTTAATGTATCCTTGCTAAATAAATGTTTTAATTTCTTTCTAAAAATAAATCTTATTGACCCCAAACTGCTGAACAATATATATATATATATATATATATATATAATACAATATTTATATACTGCACAACCAAAAGCCTGTTTAACCTTTATGTACATGAAAACATGTAATGAATGCACCATTAACCCCTCATTTGACCCATAGAATGTGCAAGTACAACGAGGAAAAGTACAGTTCAGAATAATTTTTCTGTTTATGTATCCACACAGAGTATATTTTGCACACAAACACACCGCATTGCTCTAAGTATGTCATAAGTGATTTGAAACTGTGCAGGTGAACGAGGCGGAGGAGGAGCGCATGAAGAGCGAACGGGAGCATATGCGTGCCACCCAGCTGTGTCAGGAGGCAGAAGCCCGCGTGCAGGAGCTGCAGAAGTCACTGAAGAGAGCCATCGTCAAGTCCAAGTCTTACTTTGAGCTCAAGGCTAAGTTCAATGACATTCTAGAGGTATGTTGAGCTGTTGTTACATTTGCCTAGTGTTGGTGTATGAAAAATATGGATACTTGCTAAAATGTAAGGAATAGGTTAACCAAAAATGAAAATCCTGTCATCATTTACACACCCTCAAGTCGTTCCAAAATCCATGTCATGTTCCAGCAAAGATGTATAAAGCAAATCATGTTCCATAGAATGAACATGAATGCGGACAGACATTGCCGAGCTCTGAAAATCAGGGTCCCTGCAGGTTCTTAAAAAGTATTAAATTCAGTTTGATCGTTTTAAGTTTAAATTTGAATGTCTTAAATGGTGTAAGAAAATCTTAATTATCCTATTAAAAGGTCTTAAATTTAGGGACAGAAAAACAGCAATTGTGATACTGCCTAATGTCTTTATTACACTTCAAAAGGCCATGATTACATTAAAGGGGTCATATGATGCGATTTCAATTTTTCCTTTCTCTTTGGAGTGTTACAATCTCTTGGTGAACCACATAAACACATTTCATTACACCAAATAATGTTCTTTTTAGCAACATCATATGACCCCTTTAAATAAATGTGAGAGCTTCACTTTCAAAGTAAAAATGCAGTTCTGTTGTGCATTCTATAGACTTGCGGTTTCAGAGCAATTCACAATCTATGAATACCACGCAATATTTGATCTCCCTCAACTTTTTGAATGAGCAGCTGGAAGTAGAAAAGCATAAACATTTCAAAATAAGAGTCACAGTGCGTTTCAGGCCTGTTTATATATAGAAATGTTTTGCATTATGCACAAAATCTTTTTTTTCCAGATATTATTGATATTTTGGATATATAATAAGCTGAATCTGGCTATTAATTCAATGTAAACTCTTGTGGCTTCTAGTCACAGGAAGGAATATAATTGATATATTAGTACATAAACCAATTTCAGTATATATGAATATATTGAATAAAACATGTCTTGAGTATTATATCTTATATCTTGAGTATATTTTAAACTTGCAGTTACCCTGTTTTGTATTGAATGTGTGACCCAGAAGTCAAATACAGTTTGAGTTTTTAGCAAAAATAAATGGTAAAAACCTATAATTTAGCCAGAAAGTTTTCTCACCATAAAAATAGCTGCAGAAGCTGGCATGGTGTTAAAAACAAACAAACAAACAATGTGTGGCCCAGCCTGTTTAATTAAGCAAAAGAATCAGCAATTCATGATTTATTTTGAGATTTTGAGTATGGGAATGTTCTGTGTGGACGTGTATTAATTTTATTTATTGACATTCTGCATTTACCCTAGAATATGACAGAAACAACGCAGTATTAAAGTACCATAGAAGTAATCCATATAACTTTTGCGCTATATTCCAAATCTTCTGAATCCCTAAAAAATACTTTTTTAGATGAGCAGAATAACTTTTGTTTAACAAATTTTAATTATTCACTGAAAATATTGCCTTCTACTGCAGCTCAACATGAATGTGAGTAAATGACAAATTTATTTTGAATTACAGTTAAAATGTGTGAGCTGAGCATGTTCAAAACATGTTTTTGCAGGAGCACAAGTCGAACATTTTACAATTAGAGGAGCGTATTTCCAAAGCCAAGTTAAATTACTCCAGCACTCTGCGCCACCTGGAGCAAATCAGTGAGGAGATTCATGCCCAGAGGGAGCAGGACCAAACAAAGGATGGACCAATCAAAACGTGCGGTGGGCGGAGCCCGCCTGTAGGAGCAGAGACAAGCAACAGCACAGGTACCGAAGTTGGAGCCTGCGGAGGCTACCCAAGACCAAACGATTGGGTGGCTGGAAAAGAGGACGTGGCTAATACCAGAGAGTGGGTGGAGACGCATCAGAACTCCAGGTGGGTGGACATGGGAAGAGCAGAGGTGACACGATCTGGTTCAGACTCTCTTTCCATCGTCAGCCTCCAGACCATCATCTCTGATCTTGAAAAGTGTGACTCAGTTGAACACCTGGGCCGCCTCAGCAGTGACATCAGTCTCTCAGGGGAAGAAGGGGAGAGAGACGGGATGGAGAATGATAAAAAGCTAGTGAGGCAAATAAACGCAGACATTTCAGAGTTCCTCAAACAACACATAAGAAGTGTCAGTTTATGAGTGCGTCCATGAATAATGCTTTCCTTAGGCTGGCTGCACACTAGACTATTTTAAGCCCGATTTGCATCCCCGAACGATCGGGGGGTGTGGACCGATTCGCGGCTTGTCGCAAATGATTTTTTGTCCAAAAAATCCTCTATTGTGTGGTGTCATTACGATTATTTATCTGCTCCCGATCGAGACGGAGCGTCCCCAAACTCAAATCGTAAATATCAAACATGTTTGATATTTACGACTCTTGATCAGGCTGCCTCTGACGTGATACCCACAATAGCCAATGAGAGCGAGCAAGCGTCACCGACCGGATGTTGCGTGCTTCTATAGCTGAAACTTGGCAGCCACAAACATGCCATGAAAGCAGAGAACATCACTCATATTCTTTTTTTATACAATGTTTTTCACAGTGAAACAGAACGCGCGCCAGGAGAGCCAGCTGACAACGTTTATTGTCCTCTATTTGTTTTTCTTCTCTAGTCACGTTTGATCTCGCGAGTGTCCGTGAGATCACGTGTCACTGTGAAATCGTTCCTACAATCATCGAGTGTGTGGAATCGTCTAGTGTGTGCGTTCAGAGGATAATAAGGCTATAATAATAAAAATCGGTTGAACTCCCTTCATGTCTGTGGTCTCCCATGGTTTTAAAATAGTTTAAGATTTGAAAATCCTCTAGTGTGCGGCCAGCCTTACATGATTCTTGAGCTTGATTCTTGACTGACAGAGCAAGTCTTAATTTTTATTTATTGTTAAGCTTTTTATCAGTACTTGAAAAGGAGAAAGACCAAAAGAAAATTCTTAATATATATATTTTTTTCTTAATTATTTTTATTTTTTTTTTATTATTGTTTTTGAGAGAGAGTGAAGGTTTGGTATCTCAAATCAAGTGGTAAAAGACTGACAATATTTGTAATGGTAGCAACCCTGCAATTTGATTAACTTAATCATAAATAATACAATATATTTCTTCTTCATCCTGACAAGCACCTAATGTTTTTCTATGCAAATGTATAAAACTGTGTCTTTATAAACACACTCTTATTATTATAATCTCTATAGCTGACATGATAAAATAAGGCCGTTTTGCTCTCTGCTTTTCAAATTTTACTTGAATCAAACTATTTGAATGTAAAATGCCTTTAAAATTAGGTAAAATTATTTTAATTTTAATGTTACTCCCATGCTGATTTTGAAATAGTGGTTCACAAAAAGTGCTTTGTGCCCAAGTGACAAATGGCATGCATGAGGCTTGCTTTATATTCATCTCGTTTGCATTAGTGCACTCTGGCCTTTTCATCAGAAGAAACATTCATTGTTTTTTCAGTGCAGGGTTTCTAAAAAACCTGCAGCTAAACATTTGGTGTTATGCTGTTTATGACAATCACTTCTCGATGTTACAGAATTTATTTTCATTTAATGAATTTTCAGGCGTCTATGAATGCTATTTTTTTTCTCATTATTTGATAGTCTGTTCATTCAGTGTGCTTTATACATCTTTGCTAACCCTCAGTGTGAGCACTGGATGTTGATATTATTGTCTTTTAATAGTGTTCTGTATGAAGATGTGCACAGTGGTGACATTTGCAAAATCTGATGGAACAATAAATATGTATTGTGTAAATGTATAAATTCATTATTTGGGGGATTTTAATGTTTTTTTTAAACAATTTAAGTCGTTAATATATGAATGTGTATATATATATATATATATATATATTAGCATAGCAAAAATAACATTTCATTTGTTTGATTTAATTATTTGGTGTCTCTAGACTCACCGCATTTAAGACATCTTTCTTATCGGAGCACACCTCCTCCGCAACAGCATTCATAAATTTCTTGACGAACTCGCCGTCACTGAATGGCCTACCGCTGGTTGCAATCAGTTTAGCTACCTGAAAGCTAGCTCGAACGGATGACTGGTTCAGCTGGGTTTGGCGTACAAATGTATTCTGCTGAGCTGATAGTACACTTTTTAGCTTCGACACTTTGTCTGCTCTCATTTGGCCTTGCAAGCTAGCATACTTTTCTCTGTGGCGGGTTTCATAGTGTCGGCGCAGATTGTATTCTTTGAACACAGACACTGTTTCTTGAGAGATGAGACAAACAGCCACTTCTTTGCACTGAACAAAAAAATAATCACTTGTCCACTTTTGGTTAAATACCCTGCATTCTGAATCAACCTTTCTCTTTCCCAACCGCTTGGCCATTTTGTCGTCTCTTTTAATTTTTTCGCTTGTTCGCGCGTCACCTGTTCGATCGCGATGGTACGTTATATTGAACGTACCATTCTGTTGGTAGGTGAATTTAACAAATAATTAGGCTACGTTAATAACTAAGGGAAATTTTAGTCTGAAAGCCAATATTTATTATCAAATATAGACATGATATAAGTGAAACCGTATATTTAAAATTAAAATGTCAAAATATGTCTCTGGCATTGTTCAGAGGGCCTGTCCAAATGTGGGGGTGGGCTGCATTCGGCCCGCGGGCCGTAGTTTGGGGACCCCTGCTCTAAACATACAGTATAGGCCAGGGTAACATGTTTAACAATATTTTTCAAATAAGCACATAAGATCACATGTAAATTATTTATTTATTAAAAACAGAAAAAAATCAAATGACCAGGGCAAAGTCACTGACCTGTACCTCTGTGTTATCTAGGTGTTGTAAATTAGATTCAGAATGTATCTGTCAGCATCAGCAAATGTCGCTCCTGATATTAATAAACTGCCACCATCAAAACAGGCTTAGATCTGCAAGGGCAGAGCACTCTCTCCTCTGATATGAAAGTTAAGCTCCAGCAGATGACTGAAATAAGACACTTTGACTGTAATTTATTCTCTCTGAAGTCATCCCTGCTCTC